ATCCCATGGGTACATGGATAGACTGGCAGGAAATAACTGCACAAAGATTTTCATCATCTGGGCTGAAACACTCCGCCCACATGTGAATCAAAATCATCGCAACTTTGGCCTCAAACAAACCATGCTTTAGGGTCAGCAAGAAGAAAAATGGCTCTAGATCACCCCAGATAAGTGTCCACCAGATACAGCACTTTTCTTGAAAGGCTCGTAGCAGCAGCACTATGGGCTGCTTAGAAGTGAGGAAAACACTTTGGGAACACACAGGTGTGGATTTGAGCAGTCCCCATGCACACGTATTCGTATATTGCAGACAGATGCAGATACCATGATGTGCCATACTTTGACGAAATTAGTCCATGCCAAAGTTTTAAATTTTGCATTTGCCAACTCATTCCAGAGTTGTTGTGGACTTTTTGGTTCATTGCTGAGGGCAAAATGTACTTGGGCATACCCTTGCAGCGACAGACACGGCACGGCCACTCTTCTGTGCGACATCTAGGCAAACACAACAAGAAACGTGTGAGGGACATCAATTTGTTACCAGCATCTGCATCTGTAGAGTCGATTATCAGTCAAGTCCTATCTGCTGCACTCGATTGTGTCCCATAACAGAATGCACTGCACGATGATGAACCAACAAGCATGCACAACAGAACTACAGAACTGACAAAAGCAACTTCCCAGCCTCTGTTGCTCAAGTCCAAGTTGTGGTGGATATTCAGTAAGCACCGCTGTATACATATCTAAGAGAGCAACTTCGCACACTGTTGGACACAGGAAAGCAGAACAGACCAGGAGTGACTGTGCATGGTCAGGAGGAGGGCTCCCAAGACATCGCACAGGTGGACGTCCTGGCACCATAATGTTGATTTCCTTTGACTCATGACAGCTGACTAATCAACAGCTGTGCAGCATCCCTTGCAAAAAGACGAGTCAGTGATCAACAACCTCAGCCCTTCGGAAATGACTGTCCAGCATCGTTGTCACCAACATCAATGCCAGCATTGTTACTCACCAAAGAGACTCATGGACTGCAGGTCAACTTGTGGCGACTTCAAAGACGAGTCTCTCCTCTTCTTTATGCCCCGCTTCCTTGGTGCAGTGCGCTGGGGGCTGAACTCCTGTGTGCACAGCAGTTCTGTGAAACTGTTGTGTTACATTTGTCTGTGCATGACACAAGTGCAGGTGGCTGTGTTCTGATTGATATTGATGACACTGAAGTCGATGCCCACAATTGTACCGTAGATCACAGAGGATAGCAGCCCCCTCTGATTGAGCATCAGGTCTGACGTCAGGAGTGCGGGGTCCACTATATTGCATGCCCCCGCGCTATCTTCCGTGCCCCCCCTCCCTTTCCACATCAAGTCGCTGACTCAGTAGCACCCCCCCTGCGTTGTCACAATCGCCGGCATACTGGCAGCAAAGCGCACAGGCGTCCTGCCATTTTAGTGCATTACACAAGGCACCGTTCATGCCAGCAACCAAAACCAGTGAAGAAAAATGACGGGATGCCACAGGTCGCTGCATTATGCTGCGCCCCCAGTGCTGCCAGATTGGTTGGCAAAGCGAACGAGTGTGTGGCCAATCTAGCACACTAAATAACACTACATAATGCGCAAATCATAGCGTCAACTACAAACAACGAATCACAACTCATGGGACGTTGCACTCCACTGTGCTGTGCCGCTGCCCATGTCAATGTTATGGAGCCGTATGCATAGTGTGGCACATTCATGGAGTATACATAAGTACCATACTCTGTATGTATGGAGCTGGACACTGAGAATCTTGGGGCGTGGTGTTGTGGTTGTACATAATTTTGAAGCGGCTAGTACAGACCGCCCCCTCACCCCACACACACACACACCACCGCTACCTTGCGACCCCCCCGTGCTCTGCAACGCCAGCCATGCTTTACAGCTATCCTCCATTATCTGTTGTACATTTGTGCTCCCATTCAGTACGATCCACGGCAGCACACTACAGGGTTCCTATCGCTGCCACTTTCCAGAATTTGGATTGGTCTGTAGCAGCAGTATCACCATAGGCTAGACAAAAAAGCGATCACTAAACGATGCACCCAAATCCAAGACTACAAAGCAACTTTCCCTGTCAAATTCGTTGATTTTTGGGACTGATTGGCTCCATGCAAAGAGTCAAAAAACCCAGGCACGGAACAATCGTATTGGTTGTGGATCTATAATCACCACCTCAATAGCCAACGTCCCAGTTTCACGTTGCCAAAGCAAATGCAGTTGAATACACCTTGATGGGCACAATCCCCTGCCGCCCATTGCTCTGCACCAGCAGATGTGCAGCCCGCCCCCAGATATGCAAAGCAAGATGTGAACAATTGGAACAATGCTTGTGTGCACCTTCTTGCCTGCAAGCTGCAAGGCCCAAGGTCTGCACCTTGCCTTGCACGGAAAATTGCAGGCCAAGAAATTCACCCACCCCTTGCCGCTGCTGATCATCCTGGCCCCCTCCACCATCCTTGCCTTGCCCCCGCTGCTTGGCCTTGCTTGCCATCCCCCTTTGGCCTTCCCCATCGCCGGCCTCCCTTGCCGCGGCCCCCCGCCTGCCTCGCTTGGGCGGGGGCGCAGCGGGCGAGGCCGCATCGCCAGCATCCGCCCCGGGGGCTCTGCGCTTGGCATCTCTGGCCGCCGCCTTCGTCTTTTTCGTCGCCGAGCCCATCACTTCGTTGTCTGAAGGCTCTCGCGCCTCGCAGAACTCCTCACTGCCAATAACGATCCGCGCCAGCACGGTCAGCCACGCCGATGGTTGTCAAGAAACCAAAAAGAAGGAAGAGAAAAGAGGAATCCTGAAGAGATTCGCCGCTGGAGGCCTGCCTTACAAGTCGACAAAGATTGCCGCAAGGAACTGACGGAAATTGCGCGAGCATTCGTTGCCAGTGTTTGCGGAGGTGGACGTCCGCATGGTTAGGGTTGGCACTGCACAGCTTGGAGGCAGCGCATGGGCGCAGGCGCGCGCGACTGCTATTGATGCGTTCGAGGCCTTGTGGCGCCAAATGCCCTGCAGATTGGCAAGAAGGAGATCACCCCAAAACATTTCAGAAACAGGCTCCACAGATCAGCCATTCGAATGCTTTCCCGAAAACAAATCTTCCACTGGGGCGTCTGCGGATTGGAATTCCGAAGCCCACGAGCTGCCAGCCAAAAAACTCAGCTCGGCGCTCAACGCGCCATTTTAGGCGCCCAGCGCACAACGGAGGTACAACACCCCGGTCCGCGCGCGAATCCCATCCACAGGGAAGAAGACGCCAACGCGCGCCGCCCCAACTCAGACGGGATTGAAAATCATCCGATCGATGCCCTCATACAGCGGTAAAAACCGCCCTTGCGGTGGAGCGCTCCCTCGGAAAACGGGGGTTCGATTTCCAAACCCGCGACGCACTCAGAGGGCTCCTTCATGGATGCCACGGGCGATGCCACCAGCCGTGCGCTCCTCCTCCGCTTGCCTCCGGCCATGGCCGTCGCGCTTTTGCCGCTTTGGCTGGCGCTGGCGGCCCTGCAGAGAGCGAGGTTCCGCGCGCGTTTTGGGTTTGGGTTGGGCCCCCAAGAAGGGGCACAGGGGGGCCTGACAGCATCTGCACAGCTATGTGCCCGCCTGTTTTACAATTGGGGGCTGGGGGATTGTGTGCACTAAAGTACAGTGTATTGTGTACTGTGTGCCTGGGACTGGTGGGGCCTGAGCCGATGGCTAAACGCGTCCAGCTTTCCTGCCTCTGAGCATCTTTATCGGTGGGTGCTATTGTCCCGGCGGAGCTATTCGGCTATCCGAATAGCACCGCACGTCAAAAAACCATCATTAACGGTTGGGGAGCAGTTGCACCCCAATAGCACCCCCGGAGCTATTCGGCACCGAGCGGCGCTATTTTGGCCCCGAATAGCACCGCTCGGGGCCGAATAGCACCCCAGAATAGCACCGGTGCTATTCGTGCAGAACATTGCAGTGCTGTTGTGATGCTATTCGGCGTAGGCATAGCACCCATCATTGCGGATGCACGCAGGGGAGCAGTAGCACCGGCGCTATTCGGCAAATGCCGCCTTAGTAAGGTGGCACGGCAGCCAATGAGAAGCGTTCCTGGATAACTCCGCCGGTGCAATAGCGCCGACCGATAAAGATGCTCTCAGAGCAGAAGGGAACAAGCAAACCCAACGGAGCAATTACTGTTTGGGCATGTCCTTCTTCTGTGTTGGAAATTCAGAACATCTTGTAGTGTCTTATAGTGTTGTTGGAAATCTAGAACATCATATGGTGGCTTGGTGTTGCATTAGCCAGTCCATGAGGTGTCGGCCAGAATGCTGTTGGTGTAGCTCGTCAGGGCGCAGGGTAAAAGAATCGAGGCGAAAATAGGCACACGGGTGGTCTGAAGCACACCAGGGCCCAGGGACGTCCAGCCCGGCCACTTGAAAACAACCGAGCCTTGCCCGGGTGAAAGCATTCCTCCAGGCACTGCATCATGTCCTTGAGAAACAACCTGTCGAATCACCCGGGATGCTGAAACATGTCATTCGCGAGATTTCGACCCACTTGTACCTACATGTACTCAGTGTGCGCAATGAATTCGTTCCAAGTACCTCGGCCTGCGTCGGTGGCCCTTTTCTCTCCGAGCCTCTGTTCAGTCCAATTGAGTTCCTTTTTTCAGTGCATTTGAGTTCAAAAGAGGCAGACCATAAATTCACCTGATGTATGGCGGGCGCTTAGAGGACCCCATTTCGTCACTTAATCCCCCCGCAGAGGACACCCTTTGTCACGGAATCCTGGAAAGGATCCCCTTTGGCTTTTTCCCACAGTAAAACACAGAATAATGATAATAAAAACGTAGCTGCAAAATGAAAAAAAGTGAGCAAAAGCGGGAGTGGTTCCATGCCCTGGACACAACACCTGCCACCTGCCAGTCCAACCCAGCAAGGGACCCAGGGCCCTCCTCCACCCGAAGCCCTCCGCAGCGCCCCGCCCTTCGACCCCCGGCGGCCATGCAGCCGCAGCACCCCCCTGGCGCCGGCTACGGCCAGCCCGCCCCCTACGGCGCTCAACACCCGCAGCAGATGTACCCGACTCCCCCGCAGCAGGTGCGCCCCTTCTCATGTGTCGCGCCCTTCTTTTGCGTGCCCTTTTTGATTCTTGCCCCGAGCAACAGATCAGGGATCCGAATGTTTGGGTGGGTGGGTTGTCTGTGCGCGCGGCAGTGGAAGGATTTGTGGGCGTTGCGAGGTGGGGTGGGGGTGCAGGGGATCTGCCCGGGTTGGTAAGCGGAGAGGGACGTGTCCAGATCAGGTGTGGTGCTTGGGGGCGATTGGTCCGTCCGGTCGTGGGTTCGAGGACGAGTGGCCTGGTGTGGATCGAGTCAGGAGGCCTTCTGCGCCATGTAGATGCGATGGTGAGGATCCTGCTGTCGGATTCCTGCGATTGCCGCCCGTCTTCCGACGGCCACGCAGCGTTCGTGGACCGGATCCCTTGTGCCTTTGCGCTCTAGGTTTCCGCGCGGAAAATCAGGATTATTTCCTTCTGTGGAGGCGTGTTGGGAGCGCTTGCCTGGGGTGGGGCGGGCCGACGGCATGGCAACTTCCTTCTGCCCAGACCCAGACCCCAGGCCCCCTTCCCCCGTCCCTCTGTGTTGCCTGCGTTCCTTCTACACTCAGAGCATCCTGCAGCGGCTTCTGTTGTGTGGAATAGAGCCTCAGCACTTCCTTCCCAGGAGGGGGGTGCCCACTGCATGAATTGTTGCCCTTTCCAAAGACAATCTTCGCCCTTTATGTATCCAATTCAATGATTTTGTTGCACACCAGATCGCGCATTGGCTTGCTCCCGACGTCCAGTGAATCACTGCTGATCTGTGCTGCATTGTAACCTTGACGCAGCCACCACCAATGCAGCCCATGCAACCAATGCAGCCTGGCAACCCTGGTTTGCACCAAACGCACACCACGATGCAGTCTGGATATCCTCACATGCCTGCCATGCAACCCGGTGCTGGCATGGGGACTGCCAGTGACGTGGATGGGTTCTTCTCCTCTGTAGCCACAAACTACATAGGTGCGTTGATGTGCATTCCATTTGCTGAATTTTTCAGGAAAGCATGGCAACAAAACCCTTGCATCTTGGAAGGTGATAATGGGCACGCCAGCGTCCAAGCCAAGTTGTGTTGTTTTGTGTGGTGTAATTGGTTCATGCTCGATGGTTGAACCAAAGCATGGGTACATAGCTGTTGGGCTGTATTGATGTTGCACGCTGTGCCATCCTTCTTGCACACTCACAAGTATGTACAACTCATACAATGTGGGCACGGTGGCTTCCAAGCAACCCAAAACAGTGGAGCGGCCATTGCATGTTGAACTTTGTACATCTTCAGTGACCAATTGGCATTGGTTTTGATTTGCTTGTGCCAACCTTGTGAAAGCATGTCCGGTCACTGGCAATGTTCTGAATGGATGTTTCTGTGCCAGTCACCCCAAGCCAGGTTGAAAGGTTGCGATGGTCATGTCTTTTAGCATATGCAATCCATTGACCTGTGGGCATCGATGAACAGCAACATCTGCATTCCCCAAGTTCGGTGTCCAGATGCTGATAGAATCCCCAAGATCAAAATGCATAGCCAAGGCGCAAAGTGCATTTTTTCATGGTTGACTTGCCAGTGTTAAACATTGGTTGCTCGGAGCTCTGTACTCTGGAACCACAGGAGGTTAGGGCTCGGAAGATGATGCTCCTTGGGGTTTAATCACACGTTGCTGCCTGCATTTATGTCCAGCAACCATGGCACTGCCCCTTGAACCTCATGGCCCTCAACTTGTGCAGCTCTTTATGAACTGTTCAACATTTGCTGGGAATGCAGATTTGAAATGAGATGCCCAGGAACCATTGACAACCAAAGTGGTGATTGTGCATTGATATTGTTGATGGGCTACATGAGTATCAAGACTGGAATGTTTGATGTCAGTCGAAGATCGACAACTAGGAGCACGCACTGCAAACCCATCCCTGAATGGGATTCTTTCTAATCAGAGCCCAAGTTGTGTTGGATGTGTGTTTTCAAGACATGGGCTGACAATGGTGCCTGTGGTCATGTCTGTTGCAGGTAGTCAGTTCTTGCAGGGAGGCCAGAGCTATGTGCAAAGGGTGCAACAGCGAATGGGTTGGCTATCAGGCTCGTTAATGAACTACTACTTTGCCATCAGTGGGGAGTATGGTGCGTGTTTTTGCAGCCACAATTGAGATAGGACTTGCTTTGATTGTCTGCTGTTGCAATGTGTGGTAGGTCAGAGCATAGTTAAGATGCATCTGTATAAGCACAGCAGCAAGGCGCAGATGGCAAACGAGGGCAATGCAAAGCTGCTAATAATTAGCTGAAGAGTAGTGCTTTTTGTGATTGCTATGAGATTGTTGCTGATCCCTTGTAGGTGGCCTTGTGTTGGGCAGTAAGTCATCCTTGGTTTAGGCATTGCCTTGTTGTGATGGCAAGGATGGATTACCAAGAGACACTGCTTGTTCCTTGATCTTCTTTTGCAGCATCTTGTGGTGCTTTGTACTCCATGCTTGTGGCAAGATTAGCAGGATCAATTGTGAATTTGCTGTGCACCGCATTCAATTATTGACCATATGTATTTCTTTGTGCAGTTCAAAACAAGCTGCTGATGTTGGCTGCACCCTACCTCCGGAGATGGAGTTATTCTCGGCTGCCAGAACAGGTGCACAGGAGTGCAAATCCTCCAATACACTGACCACAAAGATTTGACCTGATATCCCTCTTTTATGCATGGCATGCAGACAGTCATGCCACCCCTTGTATCATTTGTTTGAACAACGCTTCAAACAGAACTGTGTTGACCATTTGTCTGGTCTGGCTGCTCAACTCCTGCTGTGGTTTCTGTGACGAAAGCATGGCGGTCATGGCCCATGCTCCTGTTGGGTGAGCTGGGGCACTGTTCACATTTGTGCGCAGTGCATTCCCCAGTGCGGTGTTGGAATGATTGCTGCTGACATTGTGCTTGCTGCCTGCTGTTCAGATCGCTGGTGGGCCGAAATATCGGCCCCCAAGGGCAGATGTGAACTGCCCAGATCTGTACATCCCTCTGATGGCGTTCTTCACATACTGCTGGCTTGCCTGCCTGCCAGGTGTCCATGATGGCAAGTTCTCCCCCGACCTCATGTATGCCAGGGTGGGTGGCTGCTGATACAAACGATGTTGCTTCTGCATGGGAACCATGCCTTGTTGTGTATCAGCATGCTTGTTTAGCTCACCATGCAGTGCGACCTGGGAAATGTAGCCGTTCTCATGGCATATACTGTTGGAACAATCAGCGTTGTGCTGAGTGTTGTTGCCTGCATTGGCAAGGCAAGGTGGGCGCTTGTATTCAATTTGTTTCGTTTTGGTGTTCTGATTATTGCATTGTCAGTGTGCTCAATTTTGAGCTAAGGTGGAACTTACCTCTGGCTGTCCTGCTGTTTTGTTCAGGCTTATAGGGGGCTGATCGGTTGGATCGTCTTGTTTCTGGTCCTGAAGTGCATGGTGTACGCGATGTCGTTACCATCATCATTGCCGATGTTGGAGGCGATAGCATTTTCAGGCTATGCATTTGTGCAGCTGTCAATCATGGCACTTGCAACCCTCTCTGGTGGTGAGCCCCCCTTGCTTGAGGACCCCCATGCTCAATGCTGTGGTGATCCCTGACTTTGAAAAGGCATTCCCAGGTTCCCAACAATTCAGACCATATTGTACCTTGCTGTTGCCATTGCTTGGCAGTTTGAAATACAGAGGGTAATTAGGCCACGATGTGGGTGCAGTGCATGACGCACACAAGAGTGCGCAGGACACTGTTGGTCGTGAATGGGCATCTTAACACATATCAGATGGCCCGCGCAAGGCACTAGCACATACATTTACACAATGGGATGTACACAATGTTCACAAGTATGTACGCAAACGCCTACAAGCATGTGCACAAGTACATGCAAGTGTTCCTTTGGCAGTGAGTGGTATGGGACAGTTGTGGTGTTTGCAATTGCTCCGTCTTGGCTGCTTTGTCTGTGTATAATCACCACGTGGCAGTCACTGCATCGGCAGTTGTCTGTCTGCTCCTTGAATGTTTGATGCTGTCAGTTGTGAAGGCCTGGCATTGTGCTCTGCGCTCAGCATGGCCAAGAGTGCTGCGGGGGTGCCGATTGGATCAGACTTCCAATTGACAGCCACAGCTGCCATGGTCGTTCATGTGATTGTTAACATCTGTACCTTCGATGGCAATGTGCAGTGAAATATGCAGCGACTGTCGCTTGGCTGTACGCCAGTATGTGCATGGCAGTTTTCATCGTGAGGAGCATCAAACGTATGATCTACCATGAGGCCAGGCACTATGGTAAGAGGTTGCCAATCACAATCGAGGCAGCCAGGCATCGATGCTTTTCATTATCATGGATGAGTGTGGGCTTCCTATCACTGCACATTTGCCGTTTAGAGGTTCTTGACGAATAAAAGATGGCCAACGAGTGCCAGGCATCCCCTTTCCGATGCCAGAGTTTTTTGATAATATATTTCATATATTTCGCACACAGTTTTCACACAGATTTCACACGCTGATGTGTGAAATATATAGGCCGATACGGGCCAGGTGCCTTGGCAATAGGCGACAGCTGTGCGGTGAGGAGGATGACGAACACATCAATTTCCAAACAGTTGTTGCTCCTGATCTCCCTCTCTTTGTCATGAGGGAAGTGGACGTCGAGTGAATGGTCGAACATGCTCATATGCCGATTTGCCCACTAACTCCGACACTCCATTGCGCATGCTCAGCGCCCCTGTGCGTGGCCCTGCAGGTGACGACGTGTCAAGGTACAACTACTTGCTGCTGGCCTTAGCAATCGTGCAGTTTCCATTCATGTACTTTATGAGCGTTTGACAATGCATTTTGGGGGCCTGCTCGTCGGCGGGGGGTGTCTGGGATTGACAGAAGGTTCGGGCGATTGTGACTCAGCTTGTACGGCAAAGGGATGCAAGGTGGAACTTCAAACTGAAGTTAGTTGCTTGCGCACGCGAGGGCTGGTAGCAGAATACGGATGCCTGTCACAGGAGAGCCTGTCCCAGTGCGTCGATCGTGGGCATTGTTAAGATATGTTGCCACAATGGCATGCTGCTAGTTGCGCTTTCTCCATTCGGGCGCTGTGCGGGCTGAGTCTGAAGGGGAGCCAACAAAGGACACGTTGGACGATGCCGCACCGGTCGTCGGCTCCGACGTGCAAAGGCTTGGAATTAGCTGAAAGTGGTTGCCTTGCACTGTTGACAAATTCCAACCCATGGAGTCGAATGATGATCCGAGAGTGCTGGGGTGGGGCCGCGTTTGTCTGACAGAGCGGTGTTGGCTGGTATGTGGAGGCGTGTTCCAGACTGGAGACCGTTGTGCGCACTGTTGGCCCCGTGGTGCTGCCGCTGCAAGACCTCAGTGTGCGTGTCCCATATGCCCGTCAGAAAACGTCTCTTTCAAAGACATGGGCAAAGACACGAGCGGCATAAAGTCAAAGAGCACGCTTCACTCAATCCTGGTTCTAGCATCCACACCAGAAAGGGCAGCGGCCAGGCCCGATGCTCCAACCCAGAAAAGCCCCCGTGCGCACGTCAGCATCCTGCCCTTCTGCGACGCCCGATTCGTCCGCGGAGGCTCCTTGCCCTCCTTCGGTGGCGCCTCGCAAACCATTGCCGAAGAACGTTGCCTGTTTCGACGAGACGCAGATGGCATCAGATTTTGTCCATGATGCCGCTGCCCCTTGCCAGAAGTGGCAACAAAGGTGGTGAAACGGCGGCGAGGTGACACGAACAGCGAAGGCAGTGTTCCTGGAGGTGGATCACGTATATCCGCTATATCGGACGCATCCACGGCTGGCGGCCTGGCCACTGCCTGAACAGCAACGGACACGCTCGTCTGTCGGTCTTGACGGAGAGCACTGACAGCGCAATGCTCACTGTTGCCCTACCAAACCCGCCAACCACATGTTGCAAACTATCCGCCTAGTGTACGGGGTGCCAGTCGGGACTGGCCCCCAGCGGCAAACCCCGCGTTCTGCCCCGGCCAAAGCCGGAGCCTCTCATAACCGGTGGAGACACTGTGAGTTGAAACCCGGACAGCAGCCGACTGGCTGCCCGGAAGGGGTGCGCTCCGCAGACGCATCGACGGGCGAAGGGTGCTCACAAAGAAGGGCGCAGATCTGCGTCCTGGTGTTCTGGACCACCAGGACGAACCCTGCCGTTGCCCTCATGGTGCTCGCTTCCTGGTGGTGGGCGAAGGCCGTGGCCCTTAGCCTGTGGACGGTCCGGATGGGCCGTGAAAAGCGAACATCAGGTTGGCATGCTCGAAACGGGGGGAGGGGGGGGGAGAGTGCAATGCACAGATGCGGACATGGAATCGCCGCCAAAGTGGGCCCGCCGGCTCTATGGGCTTTCCCGACAGCTTGTAGCGTGGCGCTGTATCGCGTAAGCGTGTGTCCTCACTTGCACGAAGGTACTGCGAAGTACATGCCAGCCCCGCTTTCCTTGCGTGAGGCGCCCAGCCTCTCCGACTGGTTACTACTGGTGGGCGTGATTACGCCATACGCAGTGGGTGTGTGTATTGTTGGTTTTTAGGCCCTTCTGCATAGGAACGTAATATTTGGCCCTCCTTTCTGGAGAAAACAATAAAAGCAATAACGCCCTTTTAATAAAATTTATGCGGAGCCACGTAAAAATAATAAAAATAGCACTCTGGGAAACAAATGCGGAGCAGAAAGCGTAACGGTAAAATATTTTCATGCGCAAAGGTTGAATGTACTACAGTATGAGACTCAGCGCACTACAGCGGTACTTGGCCGCATCTCACATCGATGGGAGGTCCTTCTTGTCGTATGAGCCAGTTCCTGCCAGTGTTGATTAAGGTGTACATAGAGACTGAAGAGCGAGATTTGCAGCAGTACGGCTGCTGTCTGATCACATTGTCGCCCCCTAACGACGGAGTACTGGGCAGTGTGATTATGGTGCACGTAGGGAGTAGTGAACGAGATTAGCTGCACTGCGTTGTGTGGTCAGCCTCATTCCTTGTCGTCAACGTTTCTGCATGAATCATGTAATGGCACCCGCTCATGGCCACACTTGGCGATCCATGGGAGGTTGTACCACCACACAATGTTGCTACCAGTGGGTGTCTTTGGAAAGTTCTTTGCGGAAGAATTTCGAGGCGGTTGGACACTCTTTCGTGAAGAGGGTGGCCATCGCCATGATGTGAGTTGGCCCAAGCGCGCTGGGAATTTCATAACGCCTTGGAGGCTTCTAAGCAAACACACACGCGACATTTGCGAACCCTATCGATCACCATTTTTGTAAGGTTTCCGCATCCCGCAGGCTCAGTGCTGCGTTGATTGTCCCAATCGACACTCTTCGAAATGAACTGTGTAATCAGCGTGGACCAAAAGGCGGCGCTGCAGTCCTCACACAGCAATGTGAATTTCAAATCATAACTTTGCCGCTAATTAAAGGCAGGGCCGCGCTGAGGCTTCCTACCAGCGCAGTAATGCATGAGGCTGAGCCGTGAATTTTCGGCCACGTGGGGGCCGGGGAGCAGATCGGGGAGACAATGCACAGAAACGCATTTCAACTGCTAATTGTTTCCTTCCAACACTTCAATTCGCGGCTAGATTTCATCCAAAATGACCAATTACATCTTTGCATCAAAAATTCAACATCAACGTTGTGAGGGTGAGGTAGCAGCTGATATATGATTTATGATGTATGGTGTGTTTTTATGGTGGAAAGTAAATGGTGGTAAATGGTGAGCATGTTGTTATTGTGAATGTACATTGGGACAATGGAGACCGGGAAGTGAACATTATTGCAGTGATTGTTGTTTAGCTGACACACTCATCCTGTAACGCATCTGATTGTGGCCTCACTTCCCGTGCCTGCAAGCGACCGTGTGTGACCGCGCGAGAGTGTTTGGTCAACCTGACAAACATCAACACCAAATTGTCAAAGTGGCCTCAACCTGTGTTTCCGTTCTGAGCAACTTCAATCCTCCCCATGTCAAAGGAAGCCAGTGAGCTCCAAATGCGGCGGAATCTCTCGGTTTCAATAGAAGAACCCTCACAAACCATTCCGGCGCCTCTAATCACCGAGAAAAGCAAATAACCCCAAGAAAACCTTGGAATCAATATCGGTCTCTGAGGTGTAATCTGCATTACGTCTGGCAATTCGAATTTCATGCGCCCCCGGCTGCCCTGCGACCTCACTCCATCTTGTAAATTGATAATCCGAATTGTTTAGTTTGACATTCCTCGAAGGCCGATCGAACTGTCATTGGATACATGTGCATGTCGAGGCATATATAGATCGAAGGGAGATGCAGTAAACGTCTCGACTGTGCCTGCTATCGCAGAGGCAGCAGGCATCCATGTCAATGCAAGGCACAGCATCGCAAGAACCCCGTTCGTCGGCACAATCGTGTGAGACACACACGCTGCATGAGCCCCGGCACACCACCACAAAAGTGCAAATCCTATCATTCAAACTGTTAACCCATCAACCTCCAGTTCACAACTCAAGATGCCGATTCCTGCGCTCTTCTCCAGCAGAAGGAGCAAAGTGCAGCAGCTGCCCTTGGCTACATCGGCAGCATTCCCATGTGAAACAGCATCAAAAATACCCCTCAGGGGATGCCCACTGCATGGCTTCGCCTTCCTGCCCTAATCAACAGAGAAACACACCCCTCCGCCTCGCCGCATACCCGAATGCAACCCCATCATTGCGGCTTCTTCTACGGTCGAATCTTTCCCGGCTTGTCCACAGGAAAGTATCTTGCACGCAGCCGGTCCACGAATCTCACCAAGTTTGGAAACTGCCTGACGAGTCTGGCCCCCGGTGTGTCCGTGCCATCGTACAGGTACCCCTCCAGTGGGGCGAAGACGATACAGTCCGTCTCGCACGGCTCGTCCCCTAAGAAGTATGGCTGGTCGCCGAGGAAGGTGGACAGAGCGCTGAAGCTCGCTGTCAGGATGGCATTTACGTCGTTTTCCGAATGGCGAGTGAGGCCCTGCAAACGGCAAGTCGACTCGGCAAAAGTCCAACGATGGAGCAGGCATTCAAGGACTTGTAGTCTGCGGCGAGCGCGCTGGTGTCTTCGATGTTGACGATTTTCTAGAAGAGGGCCAGTGGTTTGCTGATCGAAGGGAGTTGGGGACCCACAAAGAATTCCGTTCCGCCTAAAAATCATGATGTTGTTGCGAAAATGAGAGGGGGCATCAAACACAGTGTGACCAGAGCATCAGAGTCTAGCTTCAGATGACGTAACGTCTTAGACGCAAACCTTGCGTTGTGTGCGTTATACAAGGTGCGGCTATTAACCGTATCGTAAGTATCGTTCATTTAATAGGTGGCAACAGAACATGGGAATGAATTTTGCTCCCTGTTTCCCACCTGTTGGTAGAGATTCTTCCTCACAGTCCGCTGGAACAGGTAGGGGAAGAACCAGCGCATGGGAATGGGAATCAAGCTGTCGAAGAATTTCTTGCTCTCAGCAAAACCCTGCGGCGAAAATACCAGTTGATTGTATTCCGCAAAAATGCAGCCTTTGGGCTGAAAATTTGCCAACATTTGTTGCCACCACGACTCATCGTCGCCAGCCGTCCAGTGGCTAATTGGTTAATGTACTTCCCTGCAGCATAACCTTGTTCAATGTTAATTGATACGTAATGCACATGGTAGCTGAGGCGCCATCTGGAGCAATTTGACGCGATGTGAACGCGGAACAAAGGGCCATTAAACGCAGAACACAACTTCAGTTTTGAGACCGTATCCAGACAAAAACAACAGCACTTGAGTGATCTTATGAAAAGAAAATGCAGTCTCACACAAGCTCCGAAGGCAGCTTCGGTACAAAATATAGTCTAATGCTATAAGACTTACACCATGCACACGTGCACAGCAATACATTCAAAAGACGATAAAAGTACACGAGCTTAACTATGTCAATATCATGGAAACATGCATTATTTACATTACTCAGTAAAGGGACTCGATTTCAGCTTGCGATTGCACATCAGCGACTGGCACTGGGGCAAACTTGCCAGGATTTCTCTGTCCACCAGCTTTAGGCCTATCTTCAACACTGCTCCGTTCCACCGGCTATCTTTAAACAAATAGCTTGTGCCAATTCCAGGAATTCACATTTTTGCATTATCCGATCTGGCACGTCGGGCGCCTCACGCTTGGATTCAGAAACCGGTAGTAGGCTATCCCATACACCAAATTGCCCTCGCAGATGTGGAGGCAGCTGTTGTTGATGGCCTTATGTTGCGGTGTCTCTGGCTCCTTGATCTTCAATTTCCCCTTATATGTGTTCTTCAGGTACTCGATGATGAAGGTGGAATCGCCCAGCACCACGTCGCCGTGCGTGATCCACGGAATCTGGTTAGGGGAAGCGAAAATGCACGCATTCAATGCCTGAAGATTTTCTCAGGGATCACGACCAACAGGAAAAGGTGGCAGCGCAGACAGCAATTATTTTTGCTCTGAAAGCACATCGTGAACATCGTGAGAAAGCTCGAAATGGGCTATCAAATGTGGACTTCTATGCATTCAATTGGATGCAGATTTCATTAAATACATGTTGTAAATTGCCTGACATATAATAATTGAATTTTAGGCATCTGGTGAAACTTGGCTGGATTATGGGTGGTCATATTCCACAACTCATACCACAACTTCAATACTCACTTTGCCTTCCCCGTTTTGCGCCTTTTGTGTACACATGATTGCTGGTGGCAAGCAGTACCCTTAGGCATTGCTCACAGCACAACAGGCAGTAGTAGAGAGTCTCAGTAGTGCACATTGGGCAAGGTGATGTCCACAAGGTGTGTGCTTGGACTGGATGCAGAACAATACGTGCAGATGATATGGGTGGGCAGGGCTGGAGCCCAAGGACATGGGGTAAGGGGTGGACACAAGCTGACCAGGATGGGCCCCAGGGGTATTGTTAGGTTGCGTGGGCGGGCCAGAAAGGATAATTAGTTGCAATTGGGAGACATAATGGAGTGCCAGCTTGGGACATTGGCACAGGATCCCAATAGTGGCAGGGATGGCAGGGGGTGGTATTGCACATTTGTGCAATAATATCATTCTTGGGATCTGGGTGCAGCGCACTGACTGATGCATGCAACCAATCATCGTCTTGCTTATCAGTAAGGTGTTGTTTAGCAATGGGTGACTGGGGGGACATACATAAATGGGTCTTTCCTCGGCTGCCGTTTGTCCACAACAGGAGGCGGATCCAAGCTCCTGCCTCTTTTCGACGATGATGGGCCCAGCACAAGCCAACATGCTCCTGTAGGATCTTCCATGATCACACCTCTGCACATCAACCCCAAACACATGCTACTAGTAGATAGCAGCAGTAGGCATGAACTACCCAGCGGAATTTCTAGCTGGTTGGCTTCTGTACTTAGAAAGCAATGGCAGGCACGTGTGCATGAACAACATTGTGCATTTCACAAATACAATCCCCGGCCTATCAGAGCTCATTGCCCATGCGCCTGAATGTACCTTGCCTTTGGGCCCATTCATGTTGAAGTCCGCATCGTAATCAATGCCCATGATGCGCAGGAACAGCTCCACCTTAGCCACGAACGGCGAGGACGCACTCGCCAGGTCGCCCATCGGCGGCGAGCCATGCAGAACCAATCGGTCCCCCGGGCTGCCGCTCTTGGCCGAATCGGGAATTGCCTTCGGCATTTTCGCAATGCCGCCTGTGGGGGCCGCTGGGGGCCGGACCTGGTTCCAAGGGGGCCGATGGACGGAGATGGCCGCACGAGGCTGAAAGCCTTGAAAGGCCGTCGCTTATGTGCGTTTGAAAGGACGGGGTGCCCCGGCTTCGAGCGCGGTGGGGAGCGCTATGTCGAGTGCGTTTGGTGCGGATTTGTAACCATGACTAACGGCACCCAGGCGTAAAGCGCTGACTGAGAGGCTCAGCGTCACTAAGGGCCCAACACGTCATTTCGTACCGCTCCATCCCGCCCACCGCCGTACTGTACTGTACTTAGCTGTCCTGTACTGAACGAACTGTACTGTGCTGTACGTGCTGTACTGCAGCGACTCACTGGGGCCATATGCCATTGCCCGCATTTTGTTTTTCTGCATCTTGTTGGGACAAACAATCGTTAGTAACGTTGCCCCGGCACTCCACGTGGACACATGTATGACATATGGTGGCTGACAAAGCACCACAAAATAAGGGAAGTTTGGGAATTGACAGTCGCTAAGCCAGCAAGCCAGGGAAAAACTACGCGCGTTGGCAACCGTACATGGGGGGCAGAACCGCGGATAAATACCAAAGGTTTGCCGCTGGCTTGTTATTTACGGCGTTAACACTTTCCATTCACGGTTATTTACGCGTAAATATGTTTCCACTTTTTAACGCAATCATAAAATGATTCAGGAAACGTAAATAACAAGGCTGGTTTACCGTGTTGCCACACTGCATACACGTCATTCGGCAGGCTTGGTATTAACGTACAAACTAAAATGTATTTACGTTTTTACGTGTAAAAATAATCTGCACGTTTTCACGCGTGAGAACGCGGAAAAATACGTAAATACGGCGTAAGCACAGCCCGTGTACATAAGGACAGTACAGAATTCGGCAGTCCGGGCAGTGAGACCGGATGGAACAGGTGGAAAACGAACTTTTGTTCCATGCCGTCGTTGTCCTTAAGGACAAGCTTGTCGAGGGCGAGCTGGGCATTGTGCTGCGGGTGCTGGAGATGGCGGAGCACTGATAATTGTATGCAACTTTCACCGTGTAACATGGCTGTCCCAGCGAGCCGCAAAAACATAAAAATAGCCGTAAAACTAGCCCCTTTGGCAAATTTTCGTTTTCGCGTGTAAAAACGTAAATGCAAGCGAGGGGCGGCTCTTCGTGGTTCTTCTGGTGTGGTTCGGACTGTCTATGCGTGTTGTAGGATTCAGCAGGCGCTAAACTACTAGTACAGTGCTTCCAGTAAATAAGCGACTAGTAATGTACAGTAAAATAAGGAAGTAATTGAGTAGTGGTCGCTTGCCTGGCGATGCCAATGTCGGGGCATCGCTGCGCGTGGGCGAGTCTCCTCCCAATTCCGATCTGGAACTTGCTTCGATATATGATTTCGTTTTCTTAGAGCCTGGCCCCGGCGGTATTACAAGGTCAATATATTGACCTATAAATGGCTGTGGTGGTGGAGAAGTGAATGGAGCGAGGGCGCCGAAAATACTTCCTCCGTCCCATATTATTTATCGTCTATTTGAAAGACAAACGCCATTACATGGACGGACTCAAAATTTTCAAAACAAGGTCAAAATATAAAAGATTGCATCCCAAATCCCTAAACTATCAATTTTCAAGAAGAAAAATTGAGAGACGACTTTTTGAGCGTATGGCGAAAAGAAAATTTTGGCCATTTTTGACCCCAAATATCGACGGTTGCTAGATAAATAGACCCTTGACACAAAGTACTGCCAAATCCTCTATACTCGATGTATTGACTTGAAATTTTGATAGTTTACTTACTCCAAACTCACAGCACAACTTTAACCGAAATCTCATTGAAACGAGTCTGGGTATGATGAGGAAATGATGCCCTAAAGTCATACACAACAACTAATCTGGGTCGAAAGAAAGTGTACCATATTAGAATGACCGTCTTAAACCGCTTTAGCGGTCCTGTTACAGCATCTGCCACAGCCACGCACGAAACGCACTGAACTCCAGTACTCTCTTAACTGTTAGTTCCCCACCGCATTTCCAAGAATTGTTACGTCACGACAGGGCCATACCAAAAAAAAGCTATCATTACATTATGGACACTCGATCCAACCACCATCCTATCATCAATGTGCGCACTGTGAAACGCAATGTCAAACGTTACATGGAATCAAACTCGACAATCCGTTTGTCCTTCCAGATTGCATAGCTCAACAGACGAGTAGACTACTGCGAACGATCGGAAGTTTGCATTCCAGAATTCTGACATAGCAATAGATCAAATTGTCACTCGGCTGAGGCACAACACTTGCCGGCGTCTGTCCCCTCTTCATCCGGTAACCACAGACAGCAGAAGCAAAGATGCGTCCCGGGGTCAATTTGGCGAATCGCTGCAAGTCCCAAAACTGTTGCGCTGCGATCAGAGAGAACCTCATTGCGCCAATTCCTTCATTCTTTCCTGTCCGGAAGCTGTTGTTGCTGCCCTCTGGATTGCATGTGGCGCCCAAGCTTTCCAAGCGATAGCTCGATTCTTGAGCGGCCTGAATTTGCTGGGATCGTCCGCCGGGTAGTACATGGCCAGGAAGTTGTCGACGAAACGCACCAGTTTTTGGGACTTCCTCACCGTTTCTGCCGTGGGGATGCAGGCAGTGTCATAGAGACAGTGGTCCGAAAAAGCGAAGACGATGCAATCCGTTTCACAGGCGGTGTCCTCGAGGGAATAGCTCTGCTTATTGAGCAGCCTGGACACAGCACTGACGCTGGACAGCCAGAGGAAGGCCACATCATTCTCCGCATGGCGAGTCATGCCCTGATGGAGGCGGCAAATGGGACATCGTTATGATTCTGCAATTCCGCATTCCCCTTCTCCAAACGTCGGTAGTCCAGAGGCCAGTGGATTTGCCTGCGAGCCCGTTGCAAATCCGATATTTGTGACCTCGTTGAGAATCCGATACTTTCCATGTGGCAGCGCCAGTTCAACTTTTGTTGGACGGTTGCAGCACCTATGGGCATCTGCGCCTTGTACACTGGGACGGTCGTGGGAAGTGGCTCACTACCAGATTGGCATTGCATGAGGTGAAACAATGAGGCGGTTGAGCCAGCTTGCAAGGCTGCCACAGAAGTCACGTGAGCACCAGCCTGTGTGGATGTCAATGCCCGCACTCGTGCATATGTCGTTGCGCCCACGACTGAACGCGCTTATGCATGCTACTGTAGTGCTTACTGAAGTAACAATGTATCAGGCAGTGCATGTTGAGGATGTTGGAGGATCCTCTAACTACCAATGCGCTCCAATACCTGTGAAATTGTACCACTAAGTGCCAACGACCACAAAGTGAAAAAGATGGCCGCATCGTCGTTCCATAACTAGCTACGTTTTCGTCCGTATAGAGCACTATCCACGTGGATATGCACATCCATATTAGCAGCTATCGATTGATTCAATAGTTTAATTCAATAATTCCAAACAGCGCGCATTGTAGCCAGCTTTACTCAAACTATGGTAAGGCGAAGCCCGTTCTGGTTAGCCACTGTATTTTTTCGACGATATGGTTACATCGGCTCAGAATTGGTCTCCAGAGAATAGATAACCCAACACATTGTTGTTAGGCGTGTGACTTTCTTTTAGAATTTCATATTGTCTGATTCCATTTACTTGTATTCCAATCAGAATTTCCACACACTGATACACAAAAAGACCCAATTTTGCGTTTCTGTTTCACGTCATTGTGAAAAAGTGCTTGTACTTGAGTATTCAACATTGGGCCTGTTCAATTGGCTCTATTCATAGCATAACCAACGCCAATTTATCAACCTGTATCAATCCTGTATCGACCCCTACTGTACTGCACATCCATAATGCGCATCCATAGATGAGCACGAAACATTTGAAATTGCAGCAATGCAGCGAAATAATTTGCACCATCAGAAAGGATACCTTGATCCTAATCACTTCACAGCAAGCTCCCAATCTAGAAACGTCCGACCTAGATAGCTTCCATGCCACAGAAGTAGCGCACAGTAGCGCAGTGGCGCTAGCCTAAAGCCTCGACTCCAACTCCTAAGTGTTGGATTCCTACCAGCCTTCGTTGGATTCCTACCTGCCACTGAGGTGGAAAGCTTTCCACCACAGTGGCTAGTAGGAATCCAACGACCTGTTACAGCGAAAGCTGATAACATTGCCGTGGCAACGTTATTACTAGCGAAAAGGGACCAAACAACACTTTCTGGGAACACGTGTGTATGCATTTTTGCAGTGTTCTGCACGCTAAAAACACGAAAATGACCCAAACTCCTACATTTTGTACACGTTTGAACGCGTGTTATTTGGTCCTTTTTTCCTGGTGTACCAGTCGAATCGTGACAATGCATCCAATCGAGAGGGATGCCCAAAGCTTGGAGCCTTAGCGGCGAATGAGCAGGGAGCAGGGAAGGGGAAAATTGCCGAGGGTAGGCAGGGAGTGAGCTGGGGGGCAGGTACCTGCCCCATAGTTCACTCGCTGCCCACCCCCGCCAACTTTCGCCTTCCCATTTATTTGCCACAACCCACCGCTGGCCATCCACCACCGGTGGTGAATGGCCAGCGGGGGTTGTGGCGCATAAGTGCGGTTTTTGCGAGGCGTCACCGCGCCACACGCTATTTTATGTCACGTGACGTAACTGGCAGTTATGGTTTGAGCGACGGTGGCAAAGAGGGAGAGGCATCGGCGGGCGGGCTGCCCGGATTGCCAGATCGCGGGGACGTTCATGGGAGGTGGTTCACTGCCAGAAACTCCACATGCAATTGTCATGTGAGGTAAGCGTTGATTTCGTCTTGCATTTTGCTTCATGATTTATCCATCAAAACGCAAAGAAGGGGATAGTTTAAACTATCGAAATTTTAAACTACGCAAAATTTTGCGCCCAGATTTACTTATTCTTGCGGGTAGTTGGCACGCCCAGGTTATGTGATGAAGTCGCAAACAATGGTCAGTTCGACGCCCCTTCTGTCACCAGC